TTTTAATTAAATAGATTTAATATTTTAAATTATAAGTAATAATAATATTAATTATTAAATATTAATAATCATCTATTAATTCTATTAAAGAAACACTAATTCAAAAAGCCTTTACTACTATTTTTTTCAAACATGTGTAATTTTTGAGAAGAAGAAAAATAAATTGAACTTAATCCATGAGATTGGAAGGTACATCTTTAAGTAAACAGTTTATAAAATCAAGTGTTTACTACTATTAATATTAAAGAGGTTAACCAAAATTTATGACCAGATTGTTATTCGTATTAATCTATACAAATGAAAAAGTTTGAAGAAGAAAAGGTAATATTGTTTGACTAGGAGATACCCTCTTTGAGTCTTTGTTGTGTAGCTGCCGCCCAAACTGTCAAACCGACTTTTCAAGCATTCCCGCCTTGCCGGCGATGATTAGCTGGACCTGCTCCTTAAAATAATTCAAAAACCGCGGCTTTTGCCACTCTTCTGGAGCTTCAACTTCTTATAATATTATAATTTATCGCCCTAGGAACTTCGGTAAAAATTCAAACAAAGAAAATGTATTCTTGAGTTTAAATTATGTTACGTTATAAAACTATAAACTTGAATTGTAGTTTGTTGATACGAGTGAAAAAATTTAATTTTTCTTAAATAAAATTTTAAGTTTGAATTTAAATGAAAAATGAGTGTTGAGAGGGTTTTTGTCTTATAAAATTTAAGTAATTTGACTCTAAATTAAATTCAGTATAATTTCTAAATATCAAGAGATTAATAAAAAAAATAAACTTAAATTGTATGGAGGTAAAGCTTAAATGTGTGAGCACTTCCTTTATTTAAGAGTCTTAGTTTTGCAATTGGAAAAATTAATTAGGTATTTTTGAATTTTAATATGACAAACTTAATAAAAATGTCTCAAAAACAAAAGTACCCTTACAATTATAGAAGTAAAAACAATAAATTTAAAAAAATGTTTTTATAACTTTTACCCTTATATTGGAAATAAAGTTAAAATTTGTATTTTTTTATATAATTAATCATTTGAAAATAATGAGAGAAAGTCAACACCTACAAGGCTTGATGTATCAAAGCACGAGGGTTTTGAATCAAGTTTCATGGTAAAATGAAAGAATTGATGGGTAAACGGTAGGAAAAGGCAATAATGGGGTTTTTTTTTTTTTTTTTTTTTTTTTTTGCCGTTGTTGGCCTTCAATAATGGGTAAAAACCCACTTTTAGCCCTTCACCTTATTAAATTTGAAGGTTTTAGTCCTTCACCTTATACTATAACACTTTTAGTTCCTTACCTTACTAGATTTGTAAGTTTTAACTCCTCACCTATTAAAATTGAAGAAAATAACCCTCAGTTTAGATTGACTGTTAATTCTGTTAGTTGAAAGTAGATTTTTATCAATTAACAGTCAACTAATAGTCAATTAACAAAATTAACAAAATATTATAAAATTAATTATGTTAACTTTGTTAGTTGAAAAAAAATTTTTAATAGCTAATAGTCAACTAACACTCAGTTAATAGAATTAACAATAAACTAACAAAACTAATAAAATGTTATAAAGTGAAGGTTATTTTCTTCAATTTTAATAGGTGAGGGGTTAAAACTTACAAATTTAAGAAGGTGAGAAGTTAAAAATATCATAGTTGTCACGCCCCAGAACCCAAATCCAAGGATGTGGCAGATGCCGTGCACTCGTGAGAAGGTCCCACAAATGCACAAGGCTCGAAACTTATCATATCACAATTTGATACCACAAAATCTGAAGATAAAATTTTAATATTTGCTCTGATATCAAAATCTCCAAATACAATCTAGCTTACAAGATCACGATTTTTATTTAAAATCTATGTTTAATTTACAAGATGGCTAGCCTTCTAACTTGTCACTCCGCTCGTTTTCCCTCGTCCTTGACTTCGCTTCCTAAAATTGTGGATAAGGAAAAACTATTAGATAACTCAGTAAGTAAATATGGATAGCCCTTAATTAAACTTATAGCATGCCAACAAGTATAATCACGAAAAACAGATACGAGTACGGGCATGAAATAGACGTCTCCTCTATAGGTCATGGCCAGTGTTGTAAACCACCCACTGGCAGGCGCACTATTTGCTGGTGTATAACCCCCACTAGCAGGGTCACTCAAACGAACCGATTCTATCAATAACATGTTGACATGTGCTAGCGTTTATAAACCCCCACTAGCAAGGTCACTAATAACATGACCACATCGGAGACAAAACAGGCAGAAGTTAACAGAAAAATCATATTTTATACATCATTTCCAGATCATCAGGGCAGTTAAATAAACTTCAAGTAGGCATGCTCAATTCAATGGAAAACATAATAATTTCATTTCAAATCAGTCATGCTCATATTTGTGTAAAACAGGTTTAGCCCCGCCACCATTTCAAAAACAAGTTAAAATATGCTTTAAAATCGAAGGACATTACCATAATTTACTTACCTCAAATCACGTAATACCATAAACTTAAGCCAAGTACTCGGGTGACAGAACACTTAAGAACCTAATCAAAATACCCAGAATTAATACCATACTATCACAAATTCAAAGTGAAATTATCATTAGGACTACCCCTAATCACAATTATATTTCTATTAGTCTCCATATGATCAGACATCTCCAAATTTATTTTTATATTACAAATTAAACATTTAAATCCCCGTTAATTGTTGGCCATCAGTGCGTGAACAGTGACCATGAACAGTGATCACGCCATGAACAGTAACTGCACTTCCATAAATTGGCAAAACCATAACTAATCTCACGGGATTTTTCTCCAAAAATCACAATAGCCAAAATAAACTAATTTTCTACATGAATTAAGCTAAATCATGGTCTAATTACTGTCAAATTTCATCCCCATTTTTCAACAGATTTTCGAACAGCATAGGGCAGCAATTTAACAGACAAATTTCCAGCAACTAATGGGTAATTTGGGACTTAAATGGAGCTGCCACTTACCAGAATTCCAGCAAGCAAACCGGAGCTGCAAGCTAAGGGAAGGCCGGCGGCAATTTGGGGAGAAATTCGGGATCTATCCCAAAAATTGGAGAAACCAAGAGAAATCAAAGTTAATCTAAGCCAATTCAAGGAAGAACAAAGGAATTAGGGGCTGTTTCCTCTTACTAGAACCGGAAAAATCACACCCACAAGCAAGAGCAGCTGACGGAAGGAAGGAAGGAACAAAGCAGATCCGGGATTTTCTCTACAGGGGGAAGAATTCTGGGTTCAATTTCAATCCTAGAACAAGAAAAGAAAGGCAAAAACCAAGCTCTCTTACCGGTTTTTCTTCAAAGGAGGGCTGTCGGTGGTGGCTGGGTTTTGTTCGGTGCAGGGGAGGAGAAGAAGAAGAGCAGAATCGGGCTGAAGAAGAAAGAAGGAAAAAAAATAGTGGATCCTTATCCAAATCCTTTTCTCTTTTAAGTCCCTTAAGTTAGAAATTTTGGCTATCAAGTCCCAGAATAATATTTCCTCACAATCAAGTCTTTAACTAAGTGCTAAAATATCACAAAATTTTGGAATATTACAATAGTATAAGGTGAGGAGTTAAAACCTTTAAATTTAAAAAAATGAGAAACTAAAAGTAAGGTTTTGCCTCAATAATAAAGTTAGTTGGGAAATGTTTGTAGGGAATTTATTCATCTGCTCCAACTTGTGAGGCTTATCCTTAAATTGGGAAAATTCTTGGCAATTGTAAACTTTCTCTTCATTTGAAAATTGAAATTTTGTAAACTTTCTTTTCATTTGAAAATTGAAATTGATGGGAAATTGCTGGCCATCAATTTCAAAGGCATCTATGAGACGTGCCGACAGGATCGGGTAACCTAGATCGTTGGCTACCTTGATTTTGTTTGCCATCAACACCCTATCAATGGAAGATGTGGCTACTATTACACACAAAAGTATTGGGTAGATTATATATATTTTTAAAATATTAATTTTATTTGATATAATTACTAAAATTAATTATTAATTATTAATTAAAAATAATTAATATTTATTAATTAATAAATTAAAATTAATTACCAAATTAAAATATATAAATACTATAATTAATTGTTAAAAAAATATTTATTTACGGATTATACCATTTTCTTTTATAGTAATAACCACACCCGTAGTATCAAATTTGCTCTTAGATTACTTTGACAATACCCTTTAAAACTTGTTTGATTAAAAATTAATCTTATTAAAATCAATTTTATTGAAAAAAATTTGTTGACCATTACATTTCCTTATATAATAATAACTACACCCATATCACCACATTTGCTACTAAATTACTTT